TATATTAAAAAATCTTCCATTAGCATAATTTTCTGCAGATTTCATTAGCTTTGTGAGGGGCAAAGCATGCCCTCCTTCCTTGTGCCTTGACATCTATTCTCTTGTCCTAGTGTACAGTTGCTGGCTGTTGTTTTTCATCTGCATCTATGATAACCAGGGCATGGTTTTCCTACCCATTATTTAGAAAAGAAAGTTAGGAGGAATGAATTGTACAGAGCACCTTCCTTTCAATCCTACACTCCATTTTCTCAGTTTTTTGGCTAGTCTATCATCCAGTTTGACTGAGACTAACAAGCTTGTTTAATTTTCCAGGACAGCTATTTTTTTCTTTAACAATACATTACATCTTTGTAGCAGCAGTAGTAGTAGTAGTCATAGTCGTAGCAGCAGCAGCAGTAGCAGTAGTAACCCTAAAGTCTGAAGAAGAACTAGAGGTGTGGCTCACGAGGTAGAGCACCAGTACTGACAGAGTGAGGCTCTGAGTAAAGTCCCCAGTAACCACACAAAAACAAATGTTGGCCATCTGGGTTAAACTGCTCACAGCCTGGTGCCAGTGGCTCATACTGGCAATTCTCTATTCAAGAGTCAGAAATCTAAGGATCATGGTGCAATGCCAGGCCAGGAAGACAAATCTACGAGATTTATCATCAATTATCACCAAAAAAGCCAGAATTGGAGACATGGCTCAAGGGATAGAAGATCAACCTAGAGTGAAATTGAAAGCCCAATACCCTGAGGCCAAGCCCGACATCCATAAAGTCTGAAGAGGAAGAAAATCACATAAATGCTTAGTTTCTCCCCCTTACTCCCCAGTCAATGAAGCTGCTTACAGGGTATGTATTTTTTGTTCATGTCAGAACTGGACTTAGAATTAGGGCCTCAAACCTTTTGTAGCTCAACGCTAGTACTCTACCACTTAAACGAAGTCTCTAGTTCCAAGTTTTTATTGGACAAACTCTTTCAGATTTATCTGGCCAAGGCTGGCTTTGAAGTGCAATCTCAGCCTCCTGAGTACCTAGGATTGCAGGCATGAACCTCCTGTACCTGGATAAGGTGTATATTTTTACATTGTATAAAATCTAGCTCCCTGTGCCTGTTCATTTAAGAAAGTCCTAAGGCAATCAGGCATATTTTCTTCAAACAAATATCTCAGAATCCACCCAAATCAATGTTTCTGTTTCAGAGAGTACTGACATCTGTGCATTGCTTCTGGGACTTGTAACAATTGAAGAACTGTTCTTTTAGGGTTTTTCACCACCAGTTAATGAGCCACATTGGGTACTGAAAGCAATTGTACCCAAATAATAGTGGAAAAGCCCACACTTTAAGAAGTGAAGGTAAGTGAAAGTAAATGAACCAAGTGAAATACGAGTTATAAATTATAATAGTCATACCATTGCTATAGCACTTTTCAGTTTATACAATGTTATTCTATATCTCAATTAGCATACTCACCAACTGCTCAGCTAATCAGTGGTCAGTTTAAAATAATGGAGTCATCTTGACACAGTTCATCAAGTTAAGCCACATAAGATCCAAATAATTGGTTCTTCAGTCACTCTGGGAACAGAATAAGGAAAGCTTGATTATATTAGGCAGAATTAGATTACCTAAATACCAGACATGAGGATGATATGGAGTCTCCAATCCTGATGCAAGGTAGGCTGATAATAACTACCATTTATTGGGCACTTATTGCCTGGTACTGTTCTAATGAGTTTAAATTTGTGATCACACTTAATGCTTACAATAATTCTGTGGGATAGAAAACATCACAATACCCATTTTCAAAGGAGTAAACCAAAGCTCAGAGGAATTAGTCACATTATAACCATTAAATGGCAAAGCAAAGACTCCTTCCCCTTTCTGTTTAATAAACACATGAGGTGCCTTGACTATTTCAGTAAGTGATTTTTGTAATCATAAGTGTTCAATAACATTTATTAAAGTATTTTATGAATAATTGCAGGCTTAAATAATTTTTCCCTTATAGGTGTCTTGTAAAGTAGATGAATTACTACTATTTTCCAGTTCATACAAATCCAGAGATTAATGGTGAATAATTAGGTACTGGAAGAATCTAGGCTGCTGCCACCATATGAAAATCACTGTTAAAATCCCAGGGCATCTGCAAAATTTATAAAAGATAATTCCAGAAGTTGAGTAAAGTTGGAGTAAATAAAAGGCAGTGGCTAAATACACAAAGAGTCAAAACCAAACTGTCTGGATGACATAACAGTAATCAATGAACAGGGAACTCTTACCTACATTCTCCTGCTCACTTGATTTCTCACAGTTTAATATTCTTGGAAAGTAATAAAGTTTATTAAATATATTTTGAATAGACAAAATGTCAAAATGCCAAAGCATTACAGATTATATAACATTATAAAAATAATTTATAAATAATATAAAATATAAAACATACAGATTATATATTTTATATATAGATATGTGCATATATGAATACAGAGATACGAAGAAAATGGATATAATTAAAACAAGAACAGTGTAACTAAGTAAAATGAACTGAGTAAATATATGAGATGGCAATATATTTCTAATATAACTTTGACTAAAGAGCAGTTAACAAATCAGGAACCCAAAACCTGTTGAAATGAAGACAGGACTTAAGAGTATATACATAAGCCGGTTACTAGTGGCTCACGCCTCTAATCCTAGCTACTCAGGAGCTGAGATCTGAGGATCACTGTTCAAGGCCAGCCCAGGCAGGAAAGGCTATGAGACTCTTATCTCCAATAAACGATTCAGAAAACCGGAAGTGGCGCTGTGTCTGAAGTGGTAGAACACTAGCCTTGAGCTGAAGAGCTGAGGGACAGCACCCAGGCTCAGAGTTCAAGTCCCATGACCAACAAAAAAAAATAAAAAAGAGTATATACATAGGTTAGAATAGCGAAAGGAACAAATATAACAAAATCAGAAAGAACTCTATACACTACATTGGTACACATATTGGAGAAAAATGATCTTCACTTCTCTACTATTTCTATCTCTATCTTATTATACCAACCTGGCTGTATTTCAGTTTTGTTCAGTTTTTTCCATTCCATAACAGCAGGGCATAGTCTTGAACTAGTGGTTTGCTTAGACCTAAGCTTTAAAACTTATTCTACTTCTTGCCTTGTCCCAGTCTGCTGTCTACTGAAGTCTAACCTGAAAAAGTGTCCCACAAGTATGTCATAATCAGTGCTTTAGTTTGCCAGATGTCATAGCAACTTTAAAGGCACATTTCAACCCTTAGTTGCCACAAGACCAAGTGAAATACAAGTTGAATTTCAGGCTATAAATCACAAGTAACCCAAATGTACTGAAAGAGTTACATGAATATAAAGAAAACTTAAGAGTGCAAAAATGGTGTGAATCAAAGCTAGAAACAATGGCCAAAATGGTGGTCAAAATAATACCCTTTCCTTAAATTCTTGAGCTTTTCCACAACTGTTAAGCTCCTGAAATAAATTCATTTCAATTGGTTTCTCAGTCTTAGCAGCTGTACACATGGACAACAAATGGTTGTTTAGTACTATTGTGAACTTACAATTTTTTTGAGCAAAGGAAGTGGATGTTGTTGAAATCTTGAGATAAAAAATTTCAGTACCAGAGGTTGAAGGCTGGAGATGTGGCTTAAGTGGTAGAGTATGAGCCATGAGCAAGTTGAGCAATCTAGGCCAAGGCCTTGAATTCAAGACCCCCAGTACCTGCAAAAGAAAACCAAACAAAGAAAACCCCTAATAAACTTACAGTTTAGCATAATAAAAACCAGAAAGCTAGAACTCTTGTTTTTTGAGGGGTAAGGTGGTTAGAGCTTGTGTTATGGGGGGGGGGGGAGGTAGGGGGCAAAGAATGGAGAGAAATAGGGTCATAATTTTGAATATACATATGTGAAAATGGAATCAGGTCAATTTGGGGTGGGGTTGGGAGTGATGGAGGAGAAATGATGAAAGGGATGACAATGATCAAGATGCATTGTGTTTACAAAATGACATGGTGAATTGAAACTCCTGTGTACAACTACTTAAACATAATTTTAAAATATCATTTAAAAATCTTAAAGTTGCTGTTTCTAATGTAGCTAGTAGATTTAAGAAAATTATTCCATAGTGCTTTAAAAACTCTCTTATAACAACAGGAAAGTATACATATTAAAGACTAGTATGACAGTTGGTGTGGTGAGTTTAATAGAGGGCAACTGATTTGAAGAGGCAGGTAAACTACTGTTCATACATTTTGAAACCACTTTTACAATTATTGTATTTCCCATATTTTCCAAGTATGTATAATTTTAAAAAATATAATGGCCTTTCAGGACCTAGGACCTCCGCCTAGGACCTTTTAGCTGGTGAGGATTAAAATAAGTTAATTCTTTTGCAGTTGTTAGAATACTGCCTAGCACTAGTAAGTGCTATGCAGGTGTAAAATGATTAATTTCAGGTCTCCCCTGCACCGAGTCATCATTGGTAGGATCTCTGTAATCCCTAGGAAGGAAAACAAATATATATTACATTATACATTACATATATTACATTACATATTACAGATATTACATTACACACACACACACACACGGTGGTAGATGTGTGTGCACGTTGTCATTAGTGCATTCAAATGGATTATCTGAAGAATTCAGCCTCTCCAGGCAAAATACAGAGATTTAAGTAATAAGCAGGAATTACAGTTGTTGACTTGTATAAATTAGTTATGAAGTAACGTGGAAACCTCATTCTCTCTTTTTCCTTTAAATATGAGTCCAAACTCCTGAAAGCTGGTGCTACAGTCTGCAAACTATTGGCTCTTTTCGAAATAGGGCGCCAGGGTTTCCAGGCCAATGCTATTGAGGAAAGCACCAGAAACCCCCTCCCTGGAAACGCTTCTCTCCGTTAGAGGAGGGCGGGACAGCACTAGTACGCATGCTCTGTGCTCCTTGGCCCATTGGAGCGACCGTCGGGCGCATGCGCAGAGCACGGCGGGTGCCTGGACGCGGAACTGGCTCGCTGGAAGCTCCCGTTTCTGACGCGTGGGTGGCGGAAAAAACGAGACATTGTAGAATTTGGTTTTGGCCGTTACGTGTCCCCTCGTGCCATTAGGGCACAAGAGAGAGGGAGCAGGCATCTTGGCGGCGGCGGAGGGGCCGAACCACCTCCCCCAGTCCTCGAGGCGCGAGGGGGGCAGGGACGGGAGAAGCAGCGCTCCCCCGGTTGAGGAGCCTCCCGGACGGTGCCTGGAGTATGGGGGGCTGGTGTGAGCCCCCGAACATGGGGGGCTGGAGCTGCCAGTGCCTCGTGGCCCGGTCCTGCCCAACAGTCACGTCCACGGTGCTAGTGCTCGGGCAGCTGTGGCAACTGTAGCCGCCCAGGGCTTGCGGTCTTCGGCGGGAAAGCCAGCAGCATGCGTTCTGTCACTGCGTAGTCTCTGTGTCAACTCTCCCTCTGTCCTTCTTCCTTTTTCCTCGTCCCCGCTCCCCATCCTTCTTTCCCGTCCCTGTGTGTATTCTTTTCCAGAACTTCTATTCTCCTTCCCTCCTCCCACAGCTTTCCTCTTTCTGCTCTTTATTGTTCCTCCTCTTAGTCTTGTATTCCCTCCACTCCTTTTCGCCACCCTCTAGTTCGTTCTGTCATCCTCCAATACAAACTGTCCGTTTCCCCTCCCACACATCATCCCCTATCTTCCCTCTTATTTGTCTCCGCCCCTCGCCCCCGCCCGAGTCTCCGCCCCTTAGCCCCCGCCCCCAGTCTCCAGTCCCTAGAAACTCAGTCCAGCAGTCAGTCTTGGGAACCCATAGCTTAAGCACCAGGAGCTGAGCACTGCCCGCTCTGCCTGTCTTCATGCAAGTCTCCGACATGGCTCAGGAGCAAATGGAGCTGGACTTTGAGCCTGACACATCTGATGGGGGCACCCTGAGGAAATCCACCAGTGCTCCCCTGATCCATGAGCTCAGGTGAGCACGATTGGGAAGGATGGAGTATGGGGTTCAGAGGCTTCTTGACCCCGTATGAAAATAGTCTTCCTTCCCTAAAGTGTTAGTTCATTTTGGACTCCAAACGGAGGGATTGGGAGACGTGTTTGCTTAACAGCGACTTGGGTCCCAAGGTGGCATGAAAGTTTGACCTCAAACTCCATGCTGAGAAATGCCCAGCTACCCCCAACCTGGGGGCCATGTTGCCCCACTCTAAAAGATATTGCAGAAAGCTTTTGGCTCTTCTGACAGGTTGCTTGTCCTGGCTATTTTACATCAGGGAATGTCAAACTGAAGCCCCTGGAACTAGGCTTGCAATTTGACACCTGGCTCTAAGAGCAGCTATTTCTAAGCTGAGTTTAGGAACTTTGGCATTAACCTTGGTTTGCTTTAATAAATCAGTTTATCTAAGAACGTGTCATTAAATAGTGTATTCACTTCACAGTAAGTGATTTGAATTTATCACAATGTTTTATTCAGATTATAAAACTGTCCAAAATGCAGTTCAGAGAGTAATTTCTTAAAGGTGGTCTGTAGATTACTTAGGTTAGTTGAAAGTACAGGTTTGAGCAAACAATGGAAAGAATGGACCCTTTAATTTTAGTGTCAGGGTCTTGTGTAAATCAGAAACCACAGGACCTATTTTAAAGTAAATCTTCTGATAGTCAAGGTTAAGTTGGCTCTCTTCTTATGCCTATTACATTTCAGTTTTATAAGACAATTCATCTTAGGTAATCTGTGAGACCCACAGAAATGGCATTAGCCCCCAAAAGTGGATGAGAATATAGTTAGCCAAAAACATTTATCAAGCATTATGAACACCAAGAAAGATATAATCCTTGTCAGAGGAACTGATCATAATGTCTGTTAATGTACATATTTTTAGGGAAAAATGCTTTTTCTTTCATTAAATTGAATTTTGAAAATGAAGGAATGATGAAGTGCCTTTACTTAACTGATACTGTCCTTAGCTCTACATTTTTTGGATACTTTAATAATCAGTTGCTCTGTTATTGCTTGTCTTAAAAAAATCTAGTAAACAATCGTTTTCTACGGACTTGGGCAATCCTACTGACCTGCATTTAGACACTTGTAGATAAAATACTGTTGGGTGAATCACAATTTATTTAACTCCTTGAACGGTAATGTGAAAGACAATGGGTGAAGAGACCAGGCCCAGTCCCAGTTTTCATCAACTAATTATGCTTATGAATGATTCCTTTAACCTGAGTTTGTTTTCACACTGAAAAATTGAGAGTTGAAAAAAACAGTTGGAATAGTCATGAATCTCAGTGGTCCTTTGGAGCTCAAGAATTACATTTAGCCCAAGAATTCACATTATTTTTAAAGGGCGGGGTAGGGAAAAAAAATCTCTCTTTGTAACCCAGGCTGGTCTCAAACATGTGATCCTCCTTTTTTAATCTCCCAAGTGCTGAGATTACAGACGTGCCCCATCATTGCTGTGTCAGTTCTGAAAAACCTTCTTGAGCTTTTATAAAGGGCACAGGCACTGCAGGGATATACAAAGATGAAGAAAGCACTTCTGTACTAAGAGGCTTAAGACACATGCAAAGTTTTTTTTTTCTCTTTCTTTTCTCTTTGTTGCAGTGCTAGGCAGCACTTTTCTTTAATGAAAGGCAAAGTAAGGGCTGGAGGTGTAGCTTGGTGGTAGAATATGTACTTAGCATGCAGAAAGCTCTGGGTAGCTCAGAAGTAGAGCACTTGCCTAACATATTCAAAGCCTTAGGTTCTATCCCTGTTCTGCAAAAGAAAAACATATAAACAAAAAGACTGTGTTAGCCATGAGTGATGGTGCATGCATGAGTCCAGGACCTTGAGACCAGCCTGGGCAACATAGTAAGGCCGTGTTTTTAAAAAAATTCTTTAATTTTTAGATGTTTAAAGAAATTTATCTTCTCCCAATATATTCTTTGGGTTCAAAAGAGAAGACATTAATTTTGGGCACTGAGAAGAGGTTTGTGCCTTGCTTTTGTGGAGGAAGGGCTTTTGGGATAAGTGTGAAAGGAGGGCAAGACAAATGGTAGTAGGAGGTTGGGCATTTGAGGCAGAAGGGACAACATGAACAAATAAATAAATAAAACTCTCAATTGTGTTTTATTCATTTGAATGCCAGGATTCTGAGGTAGAGCAGGTGCTTGAAACATTTTTGGGAGATGTGCTGATAAGACCTCAGCCCTCTTCAGGTGTAACACACCCAAAACTGAATTCATGGTCTTCTAGGGTAAAACAGATGACCCACTTACATCTGATGGGAACTGGTTTAGGGATGTAGCTCTGACCTGAAGCAGCTGGAATGAACCAGTCTGGAGCTCCGCCCCACACCTCACAGAACTGTCCCCCCAACCACTAGAGATCGGTGTCTCAGCACACTAGATAGCCAGCTCTGCCACCAGGACGGTAAGGAATGTCTTTTCTATAGAAAATGAGGAATCATTGAAGGTTCTAACTACAGAAGTGGTGCTAATATATCTTCCTTTAGAAAGACAGTGATCGTTTCATTTTTACTTTTCAGTGACCTTTCAGAGGTTTTTCAACCTTGTACATTTAGAACTCGGAGGAACAGCACAACAATTATGAGCCATCACAGTTTGGTAAGTATCAAAGTAAGTATCTGAAGTGATTTAGATTAGAGAAAATAATTCCAAATATAGTTCTTTCTGGAAATCATGTGCTGTGCCCGTTTTTTAAAAAATTATTTCACCTGTCTTCTTTACTAGTTTTGTGGTGGCCACTCTGTACAAAGAAAAGAAACTTTGTTAAAAATTTGTGTTGTCTTTACTGTGAGGCTTTACAGTTTAAAAATTGTTCCTAATTTATCACTGCTTGCAACACAGTTGCAAAATGTCAGGATTAACTTTCATGTATAGCTGAGAATGAGGTCTTTACTTGATTTAGGATAGAAAACATGCTTAAATGATAGTAGAGTGTTTCTGACACTCATCTGTCATACAATGGTGATTTTTCTAAAGTATAGACTCCTTTAAAATGCTTCCATTTGTAGTCTCAGGAGAGTAACTGATTGTGACTGTCCTCCATAAACAACGCTGTTGAGGATCACCTCATTAGATAGTTAGAGTAGGAGAAATTAGGAAGAGGTTTTGATATAGTAGCACATCACATGTGGAGCTCAGTCCTCCATCAGCTTTAATGCTTCGGAAGACATCTGATATGTGAGCCCAGAGACTTCTGATTGACAGAACTAGATTTCCATAGTCATGCACAAGGGTTAAAGTTTATGCACAATTATAATTAGCTTCCAAACCAGTAGTGTTTAAGCAGCAAATCTGAAGTTATATTGGATTAAAGGTATGCTAATTTTTGCTATAAGGATGGAGAGAGAAAAGCTGAAAAGCAGATAGATTTTTTTTAACAGTACTTCATGGTTTGGTAAGAAGACTAAAAGCTTTTTGATAGTTCCTTAAGGATATCACTGGTATAGACCCATATAATAACCATATAGTGTTCTTGTTGGTTTTTTTGGTTTGGTTTGGTACTAGGGATTGAACTCAGCCTTGCACTTGCTGTACAAGTGCGCTACCATTTGAGGCATGTCCTAAATCCAATAGGTAATCATGTTCTTAAGGATCTCTGAGTTCTAGTAATAGCTACATATTTCTAGTAACAGCTACATATGTGTGGCAGTTTACATGTTAAAAAAGTATTTTCACTCATTTAATTCTTATAATCCTCTGAAGCAAGACACAAGGTAATTTTTTTTCCAATTAAAAACAGCAGCAACTAAGACCCAGAAGTCGTAAGTGACTTGCTTTGATTCCTAGGTTCATACAATAGTAAGTAACAGAGCTGAGTTCCAATAAAGATCTTCCAGGGCTATTCTCTTTGGTATAATCTGAGAAAGGGCAAAATATAACACATTTTCAATTTCCACCTGAAGTGTCTAAAAATACTTATAAAGGGAAAATGTTAGCTATCTAGCAATCTAGAGGTTTGATTCGCTTCACTTCCTTCCCTGAGGATGCTTGGAAATAAAACTACTTTTTTGTTGGATATGTGAAAAATGTTTTTACGTGTTATGCAGCTGTGTTCTTGATAAGAATAGCTATAGCCATACTTAACTCATTTATAAGATGCAAAGATTCTTATCAGCTCTGGTCTAGGCTCATCTCTCATTACTCCTTGACAAACATCCTGTGCTCTGGCTGTCCTAAAAGGGGGTGGTAGTAATTCACTGTTCTTGATTGGTCCTTATGCAATCTTCACCCCCATACTCCTTTCTTGCTTTCTCATCCCTTGTAACCCATTTTAATCCTGATGTCTCCTTTTCACAGGCTTCTACACCATCATATTAATTACATTGTATAAGTGTATACTGAAAAGTTCTAATGGCTTATCTGTGCCCCATAGTAATCTGTAAAGAGTAAAACATTGGCCAATGGAAGGTAAGGAGGGGACAGTAAAAGAGAAACAATTGGAAATAGGAGTTTCATAATTTGCCAACTGATTAGATATACGACCTGGGAGGAGAATGCCAAGTGACTAAAATTATGTTTCTTGGTGGCCAGAGTGTCTTGATTAGAATAGAAAAATTGGGAGGATTGGTTGTTTGAGGAGGAAGAATATAAATTCTTTTGGGGGATCGAAGGTGCCACTGGCTCTATGCTGTTCAAAATCATCTTCTAAATCTTTTTTTTTTTTTTGTTTTAGAGCCTACCAGCTTCCTGTCTTATTTCACCAATTTTCACTTCAAGCTGATGACCCTTTCTCACTCCACAGAGAAAATAGATATGTATTTTGTATAATGTCAGCTTTCTTCTTCCAATGTCTTTGTCTTCACATATGGCTCTTCTCCCTTGTGATTCATACATTTTCTAACTCCCCTATCATTTTGCTCAGCTATTATCTCCTCTCTGCCTTGTGCCTTCAATCTCTTCCTCTTTCCCTTCTATCATCTTCTCCCAAATCACAAGCATACTATGAGGAAAATGAACTAATTTATTTTTCTTATGTCTTTCTTTCCTTCTATTCCTTTTTCTAACATTTTTATTGGCAGTACCAGGGCTTGAATTCAGAGCTTTGTTCTTGCTAGCTAGGGACGATATCACTTGAGCCATGTCCCATCCTGTTCCCAACCTTTTCTGAAGCATAATTTAGTTTCAGTTGCCTCTGATACCTTGTTTTCTAATTCTTTGCCAATTTTTAATCTTGTTCTTCTACTACAAGTGCATTGAAAACTGTCCTTGGAAATGTCAGTAGTGCTTACTTAATTGCTATCATCAGGGGTTCATTTCTTATCCTACTTGAGCTCTTTGTTTTATGGAATGCTGTTGGCCTGTACCTCCTTAAACCCCTTACTTGTCTTTTAAAGATTATTATTGTTATTAAAGATTATTATTATTATTATTTCAGCTGATATATTACTCCTTCAAGAGCAGATGAGATTGGGCATATTCAGGGTGCTATGGCCATAGATGATAGGTCACTTTGGTTTTCTGGTTCTAGACGCAGGTTTGTTGTGCTCTATCATTCTTTGTGAGCTAGTAGTTTTGTCTAAAATTGACACGTGTGTATTATATCGATATACCATCTAAATTTTGGAATCTTCCACAGGCAGTTTATGACCATCCTCACTTTGGCTTTCCTGATGATTTTGCTGCCTTTGGGCTATTGTTAGTTCTCTGACACATACATGCACTCTTCCATTCTTTAGCCCAGGACTCTTTAGCCCAGGACTCTTCACCCTGTTAAAGCAACCCCTTGCCTTACTTGCTTTGCCTGCTAGCTTAGTGTTTTTCGATGTCTTCATTAATTGTTCATTAGTAAATATGTATTGTTTTCATAATGAAAAGGATTTTACTTAGAGAAAAAAATTAAAAGAAAAGGCTGAGTATTAAAGGCATATGAATCGTGCCAGAGATAACTTTTGAAAATTTTACCTGAATTATATTTTACTTAAAATTCTAGGTTACACCACCCACTACATTAGAATTTATAAAATTTTAAGCACGGGTCCTCTTAAATAAGATAATTGTCTTATTAAGTTTTGTCCTATTGTAAGTTTATTAGTATTTCTTTGGGAATAAATACAATTAGTTAACATTATGGCTATAAAAACCCTAGCAAGATCTGTGGGTACCAATTGTAGCTTACATTTTGAAACCAGACCATTATTTTAAAGGAACATAATTCAGCCACCAAATCATTTCAGCTTCACGTTATTAAAAAAGGATTAGCCAGATGCTGGTGGCTACTCAGGAGATTGAGATCTGAGGATCATGGTTTGAAGCCAGCCCAGGCATGAACGTCTGTGAGACTCTTACCTCTTATTAAGCACCAAAAAGCCAGAAGTGGAGCTATGGTTCAAGGGGTAGAGCACTAGCCTTGAGCAAAAATAAGCTCAGGGACAGAGGCTAGGCCCTGACTTCAAACCCCAGGACTGGTATAAAAAAGAGAGAATGATCTTATCAGGCGAGGGAGGAGACAACAGTTACTTTTAATTTTTTTTATTTTATTAGTTATACAGGGACTAGTAGTTAGTTTTTAGTAACTGCTTGCCTTCTCACATGGATTTCTTTTCCTTTGCTTGTAAGGTTTGTGATGATAACATTGGGATGAAATCTTAGAGCTGATACAGAATATGAGAAGAAAATATCTATATTGTCATTTTAAGCTATTTTGAAGAACGTCACTCATAAACAAAATGTTATGCTGGGCTTATTAGCCTGACTTTACCTGCTGGCATTATTACAACTAAAAGTTGTTAGCATTGGTGGGTTTTTTTTCCTTTCCTTTTTCATATAGTTACTAATTTTAGATAACTGAGGAAGCGAATATTTCCAGTGCCCAGAGTGTTTTACTGCCTAAATGTACACAGTTCTGCATTCATTTAGGAAAAGTGCTCAGAGTCAGTGCCTATCTAGTGACAGATGGTGCTTTGAGGTTGGACACCTGGTGTACTTGCTAAAGAGTGAATGTAAAAATGCATGTACTGCCGCTAGTGCATTAATGTTCAGGGATTTAAAGAGCTAAATTTCTAAGAAGAATGTGAAATATTATCTAGGAAGAGATTACACCAGAACTGACATCACATTGCTACGTTGTGGTTGAGAAAGTGTAAATGTTTACTTTTCTTCTTTAGTTGCTGTCATCCTTACCTACTCATATTCCCGTAGCAGACTGCAGATAATCAAAAGAGGAAAAATTTCCCTACTATCTCAGATTTGATGGCCTTAAAAAAAATTTTACATTTTTATTTTGGTTTTTAAGATTAAGATACTCCAAATGAGTCAGGATACAACTCTGGTTAGTTGCAGACATTACACTTCCAAGTGTGCAGCTAAAATATTGATGTGACACAGTTGACAATCTTAGTATGTTTGTTCTTCTCACTTGTGTGATTATGTCAGATGAGATACAGAAGGCTTGTGAATGAAAATTATGTTTTTAGCCCATATGTTTGTTCTTGTAGGAAGAAGGCCTGGATATGATGAACAGAGACATTGAACATGAAAGGTTAGTGCATCACAAAAGCAGGGCCTAACCTAATAAATGTCATATTTGTACACACTAATGGCCCTTCTCCCCCCTCCCCCCGTCTGTCTGTCTGTCTGTCTGCCTCTCTATCTCTCTCTCTGTCTCTCTCTTTCTTTCTTTCAGGGAAATGCAAACATCAATGCAGATAAGCCAGTCATGGGATGAGAATTTGAGCCTGGTAAAGTTTTCTTAAATTTTCTTGTGTTTTATTTCCCAGGAATCCTTATGTCAATCATGGGCTTTTTATATTCTTTTATATACTTCTGTCTTTTTTGCTTCCAAATTGAATCTTTTTGTTTGTTTGTTTGTTTTTTTGGCCAGTCTTGGGGCTTGAACTCTGGGTTTGGGCACTATCCTTCAGCTCTTCAGGTCAAGGCAAGCACTCTTATGCTTGAGCCACAGTGCCGCTTCCGGTTTTCTAGTGGTTTATTGGAGGTAAGAGTCTCATGGACTTTCCTGCCCAGGCTGGCTTTGAACCGTGATCCTCAGATCTCAGCCTCTTGAGTAGCTAGGATTACAGGTGTGAGCCACCGGTGCCTGGCTTTTTTGGTTCTTGTTTTTTTATCTCTGCTTTTCCAGCAGTGTATCAGAATCTGTTCATTTATACATTTAAAATGTAGGTATTTTGTAATAGTGTGTAAGAGCTGTGATGTGCTGAATGGTTATGAGATGATTATGCTTTATATTTACAGGGTGATAGTGGTTTTGACAAGCAAGAGAAATTGTATTCTCCAAAGAGAATCGACTTCACTCCTGTTTCTCCAGCACCTTCGCCCACCAGAGGATTTGGAAAGGTAAGATTATTGATATGATATTAGGTGTCTATTATATATTAGGCTATTTACCTTCAAAAACATGCATACAAAGTCACCTCAGTTTTAAAGCATCCAATGACTTGAGAAACCACTAAAAATCTATGGTAGTAATTTAGAAATATAAATATACATATATATGACACACATACACATATACCTAAGCAATTCTAAGGATGCTATTTCTGTCATTTGAAAACTGGAACAATAGAATTGCTTTAATATTAAATATGTTTTTTAGCAGTGCTTTTCACCATCCTTACAAATGTTTGTGAGTAGCAGTGGGTTGCCGCCAAATCCCATTTCTAATCCAAGACCATTTCCAAGGTAAATGAATTTGAATTTTTTTTATCTGTTTGATTCTGTTTTGAGAAAGCGTCCCTCTCTAGAGCCCAGGCTAACCTAGAACTTGAAATCTTCTGCTTCATCCTCTTGAGGATAAATACAATTTTTTGGTCTAATTTTCCATAATACTTCATTATGGGAATTTTCAATCATACAGAAAAATCGAACGAATCTTTATAGTGAACAAACATGCGTACCAATTATATTCTGTCATTAATATTTTGCCACATTTGGATTTTGAGACTTAGTGCTCATTTATATATATATATATATATTTTTTATTGTGAGAATACTGTACAGAGGGGTTACAATTACATGGGCAAGATAACGAGTACATTTCTTATCAAGCATTGTTGCCTCCTCTTTGTTTCCCCTTTCCATCCCTTCCCATACTCCCCAAAGTAAGGCATCACCTAGTACATTTTTTGTTTGTTGGATGTGGGGCTTGAACTCTGGGCCTGGGTGCTGTCCCTCAGCTCTTCAGCTCAAGGCGAGTGCTCTACCACTTGAGCTACAGCTCCACTTCCTCATTTATATTTAAAGAGGAGATATGCATACATACTTACATACCTCACACACACCAGACAATGCACCCATTTTAAAGAATAAAAATTTAAGATTATAGATCAGTCAAGATCCAAATAATTTTTTAATAAAATATCTTTTTTATATTGTTGTAGGTAGTTTGTCTTATTGAATGATTTTTTAATGGCCATTTTATTGTTGGTTGCTATAGTTCTGGTCAAATCATCTATTGGCATTTCAGTTACTCAGCCTAAAATAGGCACTTTCCATTTCTGCTTATATGGCTATCAAATTTATTTATTTGGCAGGCTGTAGTGCTATTTATTTTGTATCTTGGAAGTTAACATCACATCATCCTGTTTGTTTATTTGTCAAAGCAGGGCAAGTCAGAGTCCAGTCAAGTGCATTAGGCCCAATGTTCTTGGTCCTCTGAAAAGAAAAGGTATGTAGCAGCATGATGGTATTGATTGACAGTAGCATGCTATATATTTCATATCTGATAGGACAGTAGATCTTAAATGTTCATAAGTGAGGGGATAGATGTGTCAGCTGACCTGATTATGATCATAGTATATACATATAGCAAATCATCCCATTTTACATATTATATTGTACTCTTTCATTATTAATTATAACTCAATAAAGCTGGGGAAGATAACAGATGAATCACACCTAACCAAGTTTGAATTAAAAACTAGAATTATTGTCTGAATGAATTGATAGCATTACTTTCCTTCAGTGTGAGGAGACCATAGAGGGGGCAGACAAATGAAGACAAGAGGCAGGGAGAATGCAGTCATAATATTTAATGCATATCCTACAAAATGATGAAAACTCAGGGGAGAGGTTGGGTTGGGAGAGATGTGGGAGAATGATGAAAGGGATGACAAGATGCATTATATACTTATAAACTGATTTGTTGAATGGCGACTCCTTTGTAGATCAAATGAAAGGTAATAAAATATAAAAATTTGAAGCCGAGTGCTTACGCTGGTAATCCTAGCTACTTAAGAGGCTAAACAAACAAACAAACAAACAAATGACAAGACAGAAAGATATTTTTCCCATGTATACTCCAATTCTAAATTTCAGAAATTAGCTACCTTATATTGTCTGTATTTTTCTATACCTCGTATCTGCATCTTATTTTTTATGTTGTCAGTACATATTCAAAAACTAATTGCCTCTCAGTGATCTGATTGTAAAAGAGATACATAGTTGATTTGTGATGAGGTCATAGCAAATATCTCTGTAGAAGATGGTTTGCTCAAATTTAAGGTAAGATTCAAATCCCATCACTAAAGATTCCTTCAGCAAAGCAAGAAGTGTCATGTATTGGATTCTGTAAACTGTGATATAACTGAGTGCTCTCTTCATGACATTATTTTGAACCACAAAGAAGTAACGTGACTTGAGTCACCATTAGTATTAGATGCTTCTAAGAGACTACTGATGACATCTGTATATATTTTTATTTGTTTGTTTGTTTTTTTGGGTCCAGTCATGGGGCCTGAACTCTGAACGCTGTCCCTCAGCTCTTCAGCTCAAGGCTAGCGCTCTACCACTTGAGCCATAGCGCCACTTCCGGCTTTTTTCTTTTTGCTTATGTGCTGCTGAGGAATCGAACCCAGGGCCTCTGGCATGCAAGGCATGCGCTCTATCACTGAGCCACCTTCCTAGCCCCTGTATATATTTTTAAACTTCTTTTAGGTAGTTGTACAAAGGAGTTGCCATTCAGCAGAGCAGTTTATGAATACAATGCTTCTTGATCAATGTCACGCTCACCTACCCCTCCCACCCCACTCTTTCCCTTGCTTTTCTTAGTTTTTAGGTTATGTATTGGATTTTTGCCATTTAACCAAATGATTTATGTATACAGTGGATCTTGAACTGTGTCATCCCTTCAACATTCCCCACCCCCTGCCCTTCTACCTACCCTTTCTCTTATTTTTCTCAGTTTTGCATCATATATAGTACATTATTGCCTGCATTCTATTCATTTCCACAACCACTCTGGAAAGTGGTATGTAAGGTCCTCAAAAAACTAAACATAGAACTATTCTGTGACCCAGCAATTCCACTTCTGGACATTTGTCCAGTATATCACAAACAAGGATACACTAATGCTACTGCTACAGTCATGTTTATTGTAGCTTTCTTTACCATAGCCAAGATATGGAATCAGCCCAGATGCCCCTCAGTGGATGAGGATCAAGAAAATGGGGTACATATACACAATGGCATCTGTATTTTTTAAAGAGCAAAAATATTTCACTGCTTTAGTCTGTTATTCCTGGCAATTTGACTGTATAATTAGAAGTATCGGCTGCCATTTACTTTATTAGGTTTACAATTGTACATATATTAAAAAAATACAGAACTTCCCATGAGTTTGTGTGTCAACCTTGCATGTTGGCCATGCTACTCTTACCTGTATGGTTCCAATTTTCATATATGTGCTTCTGAAGTGAACACTTTTATTTTTAGGTACTGGAGTTTGAGCTTGCATGTGATAGGCTAGTTTTCTACCATTTGACTAGCAATACTTCCAAACCTTTTACTGTAGGTTACTTTTTTCAGATAGAGTCTCATTTTTAGATTGGGTCTCATTTTTTTTCTTGGGGTCAGCCTCAGACCAAGATTCTCTTACATATGGCCTTCCAAGTAGCTGGGATGACAAGTTAGCATCACCATCTGAAGTTTGTTTGGTTCAGATGAGGTTTTGCTTTTTCTTGAGGTTGGCCCCAAATGGCAGTCTATCCATTTCTGCCTCTTAAGAAGCTGAGATTGCAGGCATGGAATGACCATGCCCAGTTCAGATGTCCTTTTAAACAAGAGTTTTAATGATAACATTTTCTTGTGTGTGCCAGACTTGGGGCTTGAACTCAGGACCTGGGTGCTGTCTCTGAGCTTTTTTGTTCAAGGCTAGTGTTCTGGTACTTGAACCACTGCTCCACTTCCAGATTTTTGGTGAGTGGCTGGAGATAAGAGTCTCATAGGGCTGGGAAGGTGGCTCAGTGGTAGAGCGCTTGCCTTGCATGCCAGAGGCCCTGAGTTCGATTCCTCAGCACCACATACGCAAAAAGAAAAAAGCCGGAAGTGGCGCTGTGGCTCAAGTGGTAGAGTGCTAGCCTTGAGCTGAAGAGCTGAGGGACAGCACCCAGGCCCAGAGTTCAGGCCCCACGACCGGACCCAAAAAAAAAAAAAAAAAAAAAAAGAGTCTCATAGACTTTCCTACCTGGTCTGACTTAAAACTGTGATCCTCTGATCTAAGCCTCCTGAGTAGCTAGGATTACAAGCGTGAGGCACAAGCATCTGGCTTAATGATAACTTCTAAGAAGCAATTCAATAAGTGATTTCTTTATGCAGATCACCTTCAGGGGCAATAAATAAACCATATCTCCTCTATTAGGAGAATGGGGACTTAAGGATTTGGTGAAATCTCTCTGCTCATTAGGCAATTTAAAATTAAAGGTGGTATGCTTTGGAAAATAGATCCTGATATGGTGACAATATTTTTAGTGAATAAAAGTACTTTTCTTTGATCTTGCATGATGTTATTTACAGTTATGGGAACATTCTGAAAGATTATTAAGTGGAAATATACTTGAAAATAAAACCATAATTGTTATTATTAACTTGAAATTTATTGCAGAAAGATTAATGAAAGTAGCGTGATCTTTACTTTCATAGCTATTCCAAAATATGCCAGTAGATGGAGGGATTTGCTGAAAAGGGCTGAAGTCTTTTGCTAGTGATGTTTATTTGAAAACCCAGCACATTTTTTAAGGTGCATATTAAAGCACATAGTAAAAAGGAAATAAATGTAACTTTTTTAAATGAATTTCAGTAATTTTCATCCAGGTACCCATGTCTCAATTCTATAACCCTGGCTGTTTAAGAGGCTGACATCTGAGCATATCAATTAAAAGCCAGCTTGGGCATGAAAGTCTATGAGACTCTTATGTCCACTCACCCAGCAAATAGCCAGAAGTGGTAGAGTGTAAGCCTTGAGAAAAAAAAAACCTAAGGATCAGTACCTGGCCCTGAGTTCAAATCCCAGTTCCACCACAAAAAAATAAGACAGAATAACTCCAGAAGAAATGTAATATGAATTAATTGATAATATGGAAAACAAATGCTCTTGTTTGATGTTTTCCCCATAAGAATTCTATAGTTTTAAGTTCAAAGTTCAAATACTTCCTATTGAAGTATTGATAGGCCCTTGAATTAAATTATCTTTAACATTTCATTTTGATGACCAGATTAAAAGTATACCCTCCAAACCAAGTAAGGTGAATTTGAAAAGGGGCTTTAATCTGTCAACTTTAGAGTTGTGTTAGACAGTTCTCACTAGTTGATAACATGATGTTAAACATTGTTCCCATTGGTGCCACATTGCCCTTTTATTTGTTCTGAGAAAATTTATAGGATACAGTCACTTGGTACAATGCCAAATTCATGAATTGAATAAAATATGTGGTTTCAATTGAAGGTGTGCCTTCAAACATACTTATAAATTTTTATTGTTATTATAAAGTGATGTGCAGAGGGATTATAATTATATAAGTCAGGTAATAAGTATATTTCTTTTTGGATAATTTTTCCCTCCCCAAACTTATACTCTTATTTTAAATAGTTTAAGGCAACTTTTTATTTATGTACTATTTATCAGATGGCTCTTTGTGTTAATGTGAGACAAAGTTTCTTGGTATCCCAGGTTGGCCCAGAAATTTGATCCTCCTGCCTCAGCCTCTCCAGTCAGCTGGGATTGTAGGTATGCCAGCAAACCCAGCCAGGCAACATTTTTTTCAACCCATTTGATGTCACCTTAGGAAATATTTAGATATTAAAATGTATAAACAATATTTGCTAATCATCTAGTGAGTTTTCATTGTTTGGAAATACTTTACACTGTTGATTGCCTTTGATACATTTTGCCTGATGTAATCAGTGTTCTCCTCATCTGTTAAAGAATATAAAGCTGGTGTCGGTGGCTCATGCCTGTAATCCTAGCTACTCAGATCTGAGGATCCAGCTTGTGCAGGAAAGTCTGTAAAGCTCTTATCTCCACTTAACTGCCAGACAGCCAGAAGTAGAGCTGTGTCTCAAGTGGTAAAACATTAGCCTTGACAAAAAGGCTCAGACATAGGCCCTTAGTTCAAACCCCAAGGACTGGCACAAAAAACGAATTCATGTGCATCTATAACATGCTATGTGTAATGAATACGTTTTTGCTAAGAATGCTGACTGGAAGCATATTTCTTCTATGTTAAAGCAAATAGAATTCCAGTTTGTTTGCATGACACAGAATCTATCTATGTGGCTGTCTTTGAATTCTTCCTTCTGCCTCAGCCTCCCAACTGTTGGTGTTACATATCTACCCCACTACATCCAGCAGAAAATAGCTTTTAAATGATGACATAAAGATGTATTCTGTTCCTTGATTAAACAAGGATCATTCCATTTGGGCTCCAATCCTATATTTGTAAAACTGTTTTAGAGTGGTATTATCTCTTTCCAATTTAGGTGAAATGGAGACAGAAAGCCAGCCCAAGAGATTCTTCCAAGGCACCACCAACATACTGTCTCCAGATGGTGAACAACTGTCGGATCTCAGTTCATGGTAAAAAATGAAAAAAAAAATCAAAAGAATATTAGGGTATGATTCATTTATAAAAGTCTCATATTGAAAGTATATTGGGATAACTTAATATATATTCACCTATCTGTACTTCCATAAGGGATAATGCCCATGGTGGTATAGACAATTTTTGAATAAGTCATGAATACTTTCTTTGGAAGTGCATGTATTATTTTAGCACTTTTACTTTTGTACTTAGTGCCTATTAGGTCAGCTCCTCTCAATAGATGACATGATATGGTACAGTGTCATCAACTGACTGGTGTATGAGAGAATTTCTGTTTCTCTCTCTCTCTCTCTCTTTTTTTTTTTTGTCGGTCACGGGGCTTGAACTCTGGGCCTGAGTGCTGTCCCTCAGCTCTTTAGCTCAAGGCTAGCGCTCTACTACTAGAGCCACAGCGCCACTTCTGGCTTTTTCTGCTTATGTGGTGCTGAGGAATCGAACCCAGGGCCTCATGCATGCAAAGCAAGCGCCCTACCAGTGAGCCACCTTCCTAGCCCCCGAGAATTTCTGAGTTTCTGTGGGTAATGTACATTGGTGATTGCTGCTCAGCTTGCATTTCTTATTCCATAATTTTGATGTATCAAAGAATAGCAACATTTTCTTAATTGTGTGCATTAGACTTTTTTCACTGTGACAAGATACCCAACATAAACAAGTTAAAGGAGGAAGGATTTGTTTTGACTCATGGCTTCAGAGGGTTTAGTCCATAGTTCTTGGCTCCATTGATTCTGAGGCCATTGTAAAGCAAAACATCCTGGTAGTAGGAGCTTATGATAGGTAGCTGAGGAGATGATGGGATTGGTGTTAAATATTATCTTCAGAGGCACATCCCCTTGGACCTACTTCTTCCACCTAGGCTTCAACCACTTCTCAGAATAGACTTCTCAGAGGACCATGAGCCTGTGGGGAACATTTTATATTTAAAAAATAATGTTTTGTTCCTGCCCCCCAAAATCACATGGCCATCTCATAAAGTGCTTTTAATCTATCCCCAAACCTTAAAAGTTCCAACATTATTCAGTGCTTGAGCATACATGAGGCCTTGAGTTTGATCTTCAGCAAAAAAGGAAACAAAAAACGAAAAGTCTTGCAAATGAATTTTTTGTCTTTTGTACTTTTAAAGTTGTAATGGGTGGGATCTGGCTTATTTCTGAAATTCTCTCAACGCATAATTCCTACTATGCTAATGAAATATCCTTGACTTCTTTTTAATGGTGTTGCTCTCTTCCACAACCTTACCTTCCTTTAATGCCAACTTTACACAGGATTTTCTGATCAAACTGCAACTTTTTCTTCTGCTTTTTGCTCCCAATTTTCTCTGTAAACTTGGCTCAAAACAGGTCTTAATAACTGCTGCAACTGAATGCCAGACTGTCTTGAAACTTCCTTCACCAGACTCATTTGTTTATTGCCTTTAAACTCAGTCTTCCACAAAGTCTCAGGACATGGACAAACGTTTCTTTGCCAAAACATACATAAATGGTTTCTAGTCTGATTTCCAGTAGAGTCTTGTTTCTATATGAGACCTTATGAATATAGTCTTTATTGTCCACAGTTCTATTGGCATTATAATCTTCTGAGCTCTGACCTGAATCAACTATTAAAACTCTGCTTATAGTATTCTAGAACGTTTTTTAGCTCATATATCCAAATTTCCAAATTCCTCTCACAGGCCAGTTCCAAATACTTAAAATCCATATGATCAGGTAGTTACAACAGCAATGAAATTTCTCTGGTAACAATTTTTTGTATCAATTGGAATTTTTCATTACTGTGACCCAATAATAGAAATAAACAATTTAAGAGGGGAAAATATTTGTTTTGTTTAAAGTTTCAGAGATTTCAGTCTATCCTGACAGCGAAGGTATAGCAGAGCAGAGCAGAGCAGCTAGTATCATGGTAGTCAGGAAGTAGAGCAAGGGAACAGGGAGTAGGTTTGACCTTAAAGGGCATGTCTCTCTGACCTACTTCCTCAGGGGAAGCCCCAACTTCTAAAGTTCCTACCACCTTCTCAAATAGTGCCACTAGCTGGGAAATACGTGTTTAGCATATAAACCTTTAGGGCATATTTCTATTCTATAAATGGCATGATGATACAATTTTTTTCAGAATCTTGAGGTGTGCCATCACAATGTTAAAGTCTCATTTCTTTGGCTTTTTTATTACTCTCTCTCTCTCTATCTCTCTCTCTATATATATATGTATATTACTGTAAAGATACTGTACAGAGGGTTACAATTACATGAGTAAGACAATGAGTACATTTCATATCGAACATTGTTACACCCTCCTTAATTTTCCCCTACCATCCTCCTCCTTTGTTTTTCCCCCTACCATTCCTTCCTTCCCCACCTCTTTAACTCCTTCCCGCTGAAGTTATATGTCCATATAAGATGATGCTAAGCGAAATGAACCCCAAGATAGGGACACAGAAGTTTTATCTTTCTTGCTGTTGTTTTTAAATGTACTTATAATGTACTATGTCATTTTTTTTGTTTCTTTTCTATGTTCTTCCCCCATGGTATAACCCGTTTTCACTGTATTTGATTCTGGTGCCCTGCATTTTTTATATACATTTTTCTTTTTTTCATAATATATTTTTTAATTGTAAAGATACTGTAAAGAGGGGTTACAGTTACATGAGCAAGGTAATGAGTCCATTTCCTATTGAACATTGTTACACCTTCCTTAATTTTCCCCTACCATCCCTTTCCTCCCCACCTCCCCAACTCTTCCTCCCCTCTCTTACCCCCTACCCCCGCAAAGTTGCAAAGTTTGTTTTCAACATACTGTCTTGTACATCTCATTGTTACAATGGGTCATCCTGTATCCTTATTTCATCATTTTGTTTCCTTTCCCCTCCCCAAATTAGAAAAATGTATATACAAGATTCAGGGCACCAAAATCAAATACAATGAGAACAGGGGTTGTACCATGGGGGAAGAACATACAAAGAAACAAAAAGAAATCACATAGTACATTGTAAGTACATTGAAAAGAACAGCAACAAAGATAGAACCTCTTGTGTCCCTGTCTTGGGGTTCATTTCACTTAGCATCAGGTTATATGGTCATATGTACATAGCTTTTGACCTCTTCTGCTTGTCCTAGACAAATACTAGTTATTGCAGATAAGAGAAACCATGGGACCTATAGGAGTTAACTTAAAAGAAGGGAAGGACCTCTATGATGAAAACTTTAAAATCCTGAAAAAGGAAATTAAAGCAGAACTAAGGAAGTGTGGAAAAACCTCCCATGCTCCTGGATTGGGAGGATTAACATCATGAAAATGGCAATACTTTCAAAGGCTATCTACAAATTCAGTGTGATACCTGTCAATATCCCAGCCTCATTCTTCAAGGAAATAGAAGCAATCCAAAAATTTACATGGAATAATAAAAGACCCTGAATAGCAAAACAATCCGTAGCAGAAAGAACAGTGCTGGAGGAATATCAATACATTTTTCTAATTTGGGGAGGGGAAGGGAAATGACAAAATGTGTTTTTTGTTGTTGTTGTTGTGTTTTTTTAGTTAGAGTCTGCCTCAAATTCATTATGTAGCCCCAGCTGCCCTCAAGCTCATGAACCTTTTGTCTTTGCCTCCTGAGTGTTGATGCCACATCTGTGTATGCTCTACCATTCCTGGTTTAAAGTTACTTTTGGGGGAGGGGGGCGGTGCAGGTCCTAGGGCTTTAACTCAGGGCCTGGGCACTTTCCATGAGCTTTTTCATTCAAGGCTAGCTTGAACCATAGCTCTACTTCCAGCTTTTTTGGTGCTTAATTGGATAAATAAAGTCTCACGGACTTCCTTCCTGGGCTGGCTTTGAAGTTCAGATCTTAGCCTCTTTAGTAGCTGGGATAACAGGCATGAGTCACTGGCACTCAGCTAAGTTTATATATTTTTAAATTTTTTATTATGTTTAAGTAGTTGTACGAAGAAGTTCCCATTCTACAAAACAGTATATGAATACAAAGTGTCTGATAACATTGTCACCCATCCCTCCTAACCCACCCCTTCTTAAGTTTGCATTTTTTTTGGGGGGGGGGTCTGGTCATGGAGCCTGAACTCTATGCCTGGGCGTTGTCCCTTAGCTCTTCAGCTCAAGGCTAGCGCTCTACCACTTGAGCCACAGCACCACTTCTGGCTTTTTTTTTCTGCTTATGTGTTGCTGAGGAATCGAACCCAGGGCCTCATGTATGCTAGGCAAGCAATGTAACACTGAGCCACCTTACCAGCCCAAAGTTTGTATTTTTATATGCAACAGTTCCTGATTTTTTTTTTTTTTCGGTCAGTCATAGAGCTTGAACTCTGGGCCTGGGTGCTATCACTCAGCTCTTCAGCTCAAGGCGAATGCTCTACAACTTGAGCCACTTCTGGTTTTCTACTGGTTTATTGGAGATAAGAGTCTCATGGACTTTCCTGCCGGGGCTGGCTTTGAACCATGATCCTCAGATTTCAGCCTCCTGAGTAGCTAGGATTACTGGTGCTAGTCACCAGTGCCTGGCTCAGTTCCTGATTATTATGGCCTAATCACACAATTGGTAGTCTTACTCATCCTAGTTTAGAGCTCTGACTTAAGGTCCTTCAGTATTTTCTGAGAAAGTTAACTAGTTTTGTGTGTGTGTGTGTGTGTTTTAACGCAAGGTTGAGCAATTAGATACTGATGTACAAATAGTAGAAAGGGGAACTAGGAAGTAACTAGGAAGACTTGGGAAATCTTTCAGTCTGTTCCAGTCAGCTTGCTTTGTACCCATGTACTAAAAACTGATATAATATTTTTCAGAACATTTTTGTCACCTAAGTTTTAGCACTCGCATAAATGGAAGAAGTATATGAACCACTATATAAGATATATAGATTGACGATTCCTTCTGCTCAAATCACTTGATGGTGATTTTGTGTAAGATAGCCTGTACAATCTAGTTGATCAACAAGTCACAGGCTTATTCATGTTTATTACACTCATTGACCAGAACTG